GATAATCACAACTTCGTTGAAAAGTAAAGAGGTACGAAATGATTTTGCCCTTTATTTTTTGAAAATGTGCACTTTGTCTATTTCCTTACACAAAATTGACAAAATGAGGCCATTCATATTAAAACATTGTAAAGAAGGTGGTACTATTCCAAGTGCCAATTGTGTTAGGCAACTTCAGCTGCCAAAATTGTTTGCTTGTCACTTTGCTGCCCTGAAAACCAAGCTTTCTAATCAGTCAGTTGTTTCATTTGTTATGATACTGTCATGACCACAGCATTTTGAATATAATTGCAATTATTCATGAGGAGTCATTTCTCATTTATGTTGTAACCTTGGGAGAATGCGATCATCAAACTGTAAGTCAGGCATGCATCTGAGCTGTAACTCTAACTCATGTGGATATTGCATTTGAGGATATTATTGCCTTTGTAACAGATTTTGCAGCCTATTGCAAAAAAAAGCTCATAAGGAAGTGTTGTCAAATTTCTTTGTTAACAGTTGCCATGTGTTGTGCTTAGCACATATTTTAAATCTTGTTGAAGTATTTTCACATTGGTCAGCATTTGATAATGTTACCCAGCTCACTACTTTCATCAAGTCAGCCTTTTTTAAAAAGCCTAGTTGGAAAAAAGCGATACTTAAAATGGCTTGAACGTTCCTTGCCTAAGGAACAAGATAAACTATCCTCTGTACCAGTGGCAACCAGATAGAATTCCTGGTTTAATGCAATCCAATATCACTCATCCTTTATGAAGGATTCTTTAAGCAATAAAAGAGCCATGGCCTTGCAGTAGATAGAATTCTAGAATTAGTAGATGATGGTTGACTACATCATGCCTCTTATCATAATTTGCACCTAAATCTGCATTTTATAAATGAGAACTGCACTCGTTTAATAACAGCTTTGACAAACTTAGAAGAAACTAAGTCTCCGCTTGCATGTATTGTATATAACTTGGAGGATGTAAAAGAGTATTTGCATATTGGTACATCAAAATCAACATTTGGTCTAGAAACTGATAGTCTTCTGTCTGAACTAGAAAGCACAGAGAGGGAGAGAGAGTTCTCAAATTTCCAAGATTTTTTTCAGCACATCTTTTTCAAAACTGAATAAATACCTGGATATCCACCTTGTGCATGAGTTTTACAAGGTAGCTCACCTGTTTGATCCTAGACAGCTAACCTGTATAGGCCATGATTTAGACAGTTTTGCAGCCATCAAGGACTTGCAATGTCCTTCTGCTGATCTTCTTGAAGAATTCCAAATATATATGAATTACCAAGATGATTTACCAAATCTTTTTAATATCCCATCATTTTCTTATCTGCATATAAGAGCAGATTTCCTCTTTTGGAACAAATTGCCAATAAGGTCATATGGATGCCTGTTACCAGCATAGATGCTGATTTTTTTTTTTCTCACTATAAACATTTACTCAATAAACAAAGTGAAAGTCTTACCCCTGAGAACACCAAACAACTCACAGTGTATTACAATGGAGATTTAGAGAAGAGATATAAACATTAAATATTTCTCAAATTAAGAAATTAGGAACTTTAAATTTGAGCAGTATTTCAACTTGGGATAAGTTGTTTTATTTAAATTTTGAATTAATATGTCTAATTTGTTTTGTTTTTTTTTGATATTTTGTTACAAAGATTCAATTATTATGGTTTAATTACTGTTTTTGTAAAATTTTAGTCAAAATGTTTGACTTTATTCAGTTATTTATTATTGAGATTCAAGTTTTAAATGTGATTTTTATATTATGAATCAATAAATATAAATTAATCTAAATACTTTTACTAAAAAAACAAAAAAAAATTTGAATGTGTTTTGAATGTGTTTTTTAATCAGAGCTTCCTTCTTAAAGAAGGAAGCTCTGATTAAAAGTTCTACTTCAAAGATAATTATGCACAGTAACATTCCATTGTTTCATTGTCTAGTCATGTTTGTTTTTTTTTTTTTTTTTTTTTTTTTTTGGGTTTTTTTTTTTTGGGTTTTTTTTTTTTTTTTTGTTTTTTTTTTTTTTTTTTTTTACATATAATTTATTTTTTGACTTGGATTTTAACTTTTAAAAGATTTGTAGTTACTTACTATTTCTTTATATACAATAAAACTTTGAATTATGCTTTTGTTTTCAGCTCTAATAATAAATTATAGCATATTGTATTGCAATTTTCTCACAAAATACTATATTCTCAAAAGTAAAAATGGGCAAAAATGGAATTTACCAAAAGTGGAAATGTAATCAAGGAAAATTTGAAACAAGAAAATCGAGGGCCCTACTCTGTGTCTCTCTCTCTCTATATATATATATATATAATATAATCAGGGAACAAATAAATAAAGCAATTTCCACACCTGGAGAAGACACCCTAATGTACAAGATTAAAAATAAATCCCTCTAGTAATCACTTTTAACCCCACTATGCCTCCACTATCCCAAATAATCAAAAGTCGCTGGGAAATACTACATCTCAAACCAGACCTAAAAAAATTGAACCATAATAAAGAATTAATGAGTTCTAGAATTCCCTCTTACACCGAACCTGATGGATGTAATAATGAAAAACACACTAGATAAAAATAAAACTTCATTCAACATTCCTTGAAGGTCATCAACTGTGAGACACCTGAGAAAGGCTGGAGGATATATAGTAAGAATCTCATTTCAAAAATTGAGAATAAAATAATGCAGTTTTTTTTTTTTTTGTTTTTTTTTTTTTTTTTTAAATAAAGTCCCGTAATAAAAGGCTTCACTTTATTCTTCATGTCATGGAGCATAAAAAAGTGTAAAAAAAAAAAAAAAAAACATTTCTTTTGTAATGTCTCTGGTTCAAAACTTACCTGAAGAGGTGTCCTGATACTGATTATCATTCTATGGTGAGTACCCAAAAAAAGATATTTGCTAAGATAGCATGTGGTATTAATGACCTTTGACACTTATTAACCACTGCTTTATAGTAAATTGCCCACAAAGAAAATTATAAAAATGTTTGTAGTGGCAGTTAGTGAGGTGTAAAAAGGAAACTGTTTAGTTGAGAAATAATAAATAAAAGTTCCATTAAAAACAACTGACATAGTACCGCAATTAAGCTTTTTATTAAATTTTTTTATGTTCGTATAAGAGTCTTCTTTTCTGGACATAAAGTGTGTAAAAACTGTCCAAATGTTCTATATATCCAAGGACTTTCGGCTATTCTATTGCCAAAGATTTTTTTTTTTTTAATTTTTAACTGAATATTTAAATTTTATACAGTGTAACCCGGATATAAGAGAGATTTTCTCTGGTCCCAAATTAGAGCCTGTGTTAATGTATATAAAATAGACCAAACCCGGATATAAGAGAAACCCGGATATAAGAGACTTCTTCTCCAGTCCTGACAACTCTCTTATATTCAGGTTACACTGTATATGTATCTGTAGTGATGGAAATTTTTTTTTTTTTTTTTTTTTTTTTTTTGAAAACAGTCCACAACATACTCATAGAAAATACAACTATTATAGCCTCATCCATGTTTTGTTTTTTTGGTTCTTTTTTTTTTAAAAAGAAAATAGCTAAAAATAATGGAAACATGGATAATAAAAAAGAAAAAAAACATACTCAATAATATCAACTATGAATATGTCCACAACATGCTGACCCTGTTTGGAAAAATAAGATATTATGAGTTTTAGTACCATAATCATGTCTATTAAAATTTTGTAAGTATTTTGATACATGTGTACTAAAATACCCAAATTTTCCTTGTTTTAAATTTTTTTTTTTTTGTCTGAATTTCTGGGATGAGGATTTATCATTATTTACACTATTTATATTCAGACTGTTGTTGTTTTTATCTCACAACATTTCAGTTATTGTGCCCTCTGACCTTCCTCAGGTTTATATTGATCCAGGTAACCTACAGGGAATTCTGAACTGAACCCTTTATTTAATCTATGGAGGTAGACTGTCCTCACTCCACTGCTCATGTCGAGCAATATTGTCTAGTGATGTTATTTAGTACTATTCAGTTATTGCTAATCTGTTTCCACAGAGTACATGTACACACTGCCCAATGTAAGGACTGAACTCACAACCACTATGTTAAATTTTGTTGTTTGTCAATCAAAATAAAGAATTAAATTTAATATAAACAATCAAATAAAAAAAAAAAAATGCAAAATTTGGGCGGGTGTAGGCAAAACTGAATGAAAAGAAACCTGACACTATAACAAGCTCCATAACACGGGATGAACAATTGAACATTTTAAGCAGAATTATTCTGACCATGACCATATGCATACCTGTATTTGCATTACTAGAACTTAATAAATTTTAAGCTAATAATGGGAAATTGATGCATAAATACTTAATCAAAATAGGTATAATACCATTTGGTACCACCGTTTTACTATCCAGGTAGTTATTGAAATTTCAGACTCAAACTGACAACCCGTGCCAGCCATGGATTCAATACCTTACTTGGTACCCACTATGAGGATTAGGGTTGTCTCAAGTGCACCATCTGCATGATTCATCCCAATATAAACAGGCATATAGGATAGGAGAATACAACCAATTAAAAAATATGGGTGTTGTGTCAATAAAATAATCCCCCAATATTTTAATTCCAAACCCAAATCCAGGGCCTTCTCACTCCTGTTGGAAGAACCTCTCTCTCTGATTAACTATGTCTTCAGCGGTGTAACTATACTCACCATGTTTGGCCAATTGCAGATTTAACCCATAGTTGAGGTGGGTGGCTGTTTGACAAGTTCAAATTTTCAGATAGGTTAGTGGTACCACAAAATTTATTTGAAAGTTCTACAGTATTGATAACATCTTTGATTTTGTTACCCCTACCTCTGGTGATACCCTATTAGACAAATACTAATTCTAGGAGGCACCCTTTTGTTTCAGGCTTTCAAATTAGAAGGTGGCAAAAGAGAATCTTGTATACATGGCAATTACTGTTCACCAGCTAGTGTCACTGTCATTACAAGTTGGGCATTGATGTTGTTCATTGATTTTGAAGTAAACTTTCCATTGGCCAACTGTTTTAAGCATGTCGGTGTCCCATTTGAGGCTGGGAATAATTGGCATGGCAACAATCAGGATCACACATCATATGATAATGTATCTCCGACAATGTTTAAATACATGACATAATCTTTACTGAACTCAGTATCACTTTCTCTTTTGTTTCTCTCTCTTTCTCTTTTGTTTCTCTCTCTTTCTCTTTTGTTTCTTTTTTTTCTTTTGTTTTTCTCTTTGTTTTTTGTTTCTTTCTTTTTTGTTTTTTTTCTTTCTTTCTTTTTTCTTTTGTTTCTTTCTCTTTGTTTCTTTCTCTTTTGTTTCTTTCTCTTTTGTTTCTTTCTCTTTTGTTTCTTTCTCTTTTGTTTCTTTCTCTTTTGTTTCTTTCTCTTTTGTTTCTTTCTCTTTTGTTTCTTTCTCTTTTGTTTCTCTCTCTTTCTTTTTTTGTTTCTCTCTCTTTCTTTTTTTGTTTCTCTCTCTCTTACTCTCTTACTCTATCTCTTTCTTACTCTTTCCCTCTCTCTTACTCACTTACTCTCTTTCTTACTCTTTCCCTCTCTCTCTTACTCTCTTACTCTTTCCCTCTCTCTCTTCTTTTCCTCTCTTCTCTCTCTCTCTCTTACGTCTTTCCCTCTCTCTCTCTTACTCTTTCCCTCTCAGAAATTATTTTTTTTGCTTTGACCTCATTTTCATGCAGGCTTTCTTGTCCTCCAATCCCTTTTTCTCTCTTGTTTACTTTTGACCAGAGATATAATACAATTACAAAATGAATGACTGTTTCTCTGCAAGTTAAAATTAATCTAAACAAATTATGACATTTTAAAATAACAGCAGGTTCTCTCCACTACATTGTTAGAAGCACTTTACCTATTTCTTTGCAGTGGACTCTTTAAATTATGCAGAAAAGTTCTTATATAAGTTCTTGTATTTGTGCATGTGATAAAAATAGTTTTAATGTATGGTAAATTTATTGGTTAAAAAGTGCTCAATATCAGGGATAGGGCATAAGTAAACATAAAAGTGGACACTGAGGTCAACACTGAGTGGTATCAGTCTGTTTCAAGGATGAAATAGACTGTTGCCACTTGGTGTCAGCCTCAGTGTCCATTTATATATATATTTGGATGTGTGGACAGATGCTCGGAATGAAAAATCTAAGAGCTATGTTTGAATTCCAGTTGAGTTGGTTACATTCACTTATGCACAAATATCCTTGGGAAAGATATGAATTCATCTCTTCTCCCCTGCTATGGGTTAAGTAGTAGGACAAACAAGGCTTTTTAGTCTTGGAGAAGGACATTTCTGAATTCAAAACTTGTGTTGTTAGGGTGCTATGAGACACCCAATGTGCACCATTTTTCTGTATTCAGTTCTTCTAAAAAGTGTGGATGTTTCTACACAAGTATCACCACATATAATTGAATTACATATGCAGGTAGTCTGGCTGTTCAGGTCTAGGAGTGAATTGTTGGACCCTCATATGTGAAAGATAAGTGAGTTTCTTTCTCATAAATATATATCACAAACCACACACACACATTACATATAAAGTGCGTGTGGTTTGTTTTATTCTATATGGACCCAATCTTATGAAAATTCAGAATGTGCTTTGCAGGACACTGCTGGTGATCAAAACAAGAACTTCCAACTGCTCTGCACATGTAGCCATGGAGCAAGACGGATTGGTGGCCTAATAACCACCTACATTAACCAGCTATGTTATGACACAGAATGCCACCCTAATGACCTTCAAAGTTTGATGCAGAACTGTGATGGTCAGCGTGATAGACTCAATGTCTGAGTTAGCTCGACTTGTGAGTGTTTGTATATCTATCTATCTATATATTATATATATATAATATATATATATATATATATATATATTGACTGGTCATTTCAGCTCATGTGACGGCATTTTCCCTTACGAGGAGTGGCTAATTAATTTGAACCTTTTAAAACCTTTATTCTACAATCTACATTCAACACCCTCACTTGATAAGACACCAGAGGTGTTGAAATAAAATGGCTATTTTTGTAGTGATTTTATAACATATTTATGTTATAATTTTTAAATAAATAATCATATATATATATATATAGTCTCTGTGTGTGGTTTGTTTTATTTTAGATTTTTCTTTATCTACATAAACAATAAGTTTAATATAAACTTTTATTCGGATAAAAAAAAAGAAAAGACTAACTTACTACTCCTTGATGCCTAATAGAAGTTGGGTTTTTTAGGATCTCTCCTTCAATTAAACCCGACCTTTTAAATGTGTTTTTTTTTGTTTTTTTTACTCGTTTTATTAAACTCACCTGTTTATCTCATATCGAGAAAAATCCTGCTTTTGTAGTTGTCCCCTAAAAGGATGATTAAAATGAGTTTCTACTTTTCCAGAAAATATTAATTACATTTTTTACATAGCAAAAAGTTTCAAGTAATTTGCTTCTTTATGAACAAGCATTCTTTCATGCTCTGTTTCTTACTATAAATTCTGTATAGAGAAGCTTGTGTATTTTTTATCACTATTGCGTGAATTCTGAGAAGGTCAGTTTGGCTAGTTACATAAGAGCTTAAAACAATTTGCTGTATTCAAGTCTAATCCTTCAAGACTGCATGTACATTATTTGGTTAGAGGCATAAAGATTAAAAAAAAAACAAAAAAAACTTTCTCTTGAAGATTTCTTGCTTTTGGTAAGTTTAGTTTCATATTGTAAGAATATTAAATCGGGTGAATATGTCTATCTATTTGTATCTATGATAGTTTTGTTACTTTTTTTTTCTGTCTTTTATTTGAGTTTATCTATCACTGTATTTATCTCTCACATACACATATATATATATATATATATATATACACCTTTCTTTGTCATTTTATATAAGGTGTCTGTAAATTTATTGTGCAGCTAATTTTTTTTTTTTTTCCTTCTAATATAAAATATTGAATGTTATAAATGTGAATATCCCTATACTCATACAAACTATAAAAGGAGTCTATAAATTCCTCATGTAATTTAAATTTCAAATAATTTCTGTATAAAATAAGTTTTAACCAAGTCAAAAATATAGCTAAATTTGTTTAAGCTGAACAGGCAAGTGTCATGATTTGTTTCGTATCCCAGTTTCTGGCTGATCATCAATGGACCATCATGTTGAAATATTGGCTCCTGTATGATCACTGAAGTTAAGCAACATTGAGCCTGGTCAGTACTTAGATGGGTGACTGCTTGAGAATACCAGGTAAAGCTTAGATATGTAGGTGGTGTAATGGATAATTGCTTGAAATTGTTAATCAGAGAACCAAGGTTGAATTACAGTCAGGTTTGTTATAGTCACTTATGTGCAAATACTCTTGAGAAAGGTATGAATTAACCTTTACTCCCCACAACTATAGGTTAATTAGTGAGACTTGTATCACTAAATCATTATCTCCAAAAAAAAAGCCTTACAATGTGAAAATATTTTCTGGCTTAAATAAACTGCAAAGGGTTTGATAAGCCTTAAAAAATGAATGAATCCATCAAGCACTGGAGCTATTCTCTTGACATATATATATCCAGTTTGTTTTATTTATTTTTTTCTTTTAACTTAGAAATTTTAACTTATCTGAAGGTTCATTTTTACCTTTGCCTCAAAGCCATTTATTTTGGATTTGATTTGGTTCTTTGGAAAATTGAAAACGAAAACTTAAAAATAAATTATAAACAAAGTTATTTATATCGTTATTAAATTTGCTTTCATTTTATATTTTTGTATCCACTGTCAGATTTTATTATGCAAGTTTGTTTTCACAAACTTGGCATCAAGCAAACAATGTTAAAATACTCAAGATATATGATAAATATACCAGGTGAGTTTTAGCTAATATATGGTTTTTGTTATAACCTAGGAAAAGGTTACTGAATAAGAATGACCAAAACAGAGCTTGGAAATGAATTATAATATTTATAACAGGAACAGCATACAAAATGTGACGTGTAGTAAGTAATCAACTGCTAGAAGTGAATCAACATACAGTATATTCCACTGTATTTATAAGGATTAGGATATACCCATTATAGTCCATAGGTACAGTATAACAGTTTTATGAGACATATTTATAATAATTTAGTTAACAGGTGTAAGATTTTATACAAGGGTTGTTAATCATATAAATTCTCTTGAACTTCTCACTTATAGAACTCATTTCTGGCTCCATGCTTTCCAGTGAACTTTGATCTTTAAAAATTTAAATGCAGTGTCTTCTTGATTCCTCTTTTATTTGCATACCTTAATGTTTCTATTTTTTTGTATTCTTTCACACTCGTTAACCCCTCTTTACTGTCTTTTTTTGGGGCAAAATGATTAAAAACAAGTACATAATAGTTTGTTATTTTTGTTTTTTATCATTTCACCCCAAGCAAGCTGATAAAGTCACTAAGGTGCAAGGGGTTATTAGGTTTAAAAGAATGATGTAATGAATATGCATACACCTGAGTTCCCCCTCACAGTAATATGATTGGCTGGTGTCAGCCATAAATACAGACTGATGTGGAGGTACATGGGGACGACGCCTATTGCCTACCACTATGACAAGGATCAGTCCATTATGGTTACCTGCTAGATTGTCCTACCCAGTTACAGTAGTCAACACCCACTTACTTCAAACAAATATGTCCCTTTCCGGGACATATCAAAGAATATGAGAAAAACATTTTAAGGAGAGAGGACAATGGAAGAAGAGGTTTCAAGGAGACAGATGATGATTGACATTGAATTTAAATATTTGAAGATCAAAGTTGATTGGTAAACAATAAGCCAGAAGAGTTCCACAAGCAGGAATTGCTGGAGAATAAACTGTTAGCATAGAACTTATAGTTACATCTAGCAATTTCAACTGTAAAATGATGAGACCTAACTGCCAATCTAGTACTGTGCTTAAATTCATAAAGTCAAGGTACCAAAGAGGAAAGCTCATCAGAACAAATACCATGATAAGGGCAGTCGATCTTAACGTTTTTTTCCAACATAATTTCAATAGAAACAAAAATGAATAGAATAACATGTATTTTTTCTTTTTTCCTCAATAATTTTAAAATTTTAAACTTAATATAGATTAAATTTACATTTTTGAAATGGGTAGTTTTTAATTTTAATTTCAAATTTTATCATACAATTTAATATTTATTACTTAAAATAAATTCTATTTTAGTATAAACCTAACTTTAAAGAATTTAATAGTTATTATAACCTTACTTCGTTGTCAAGTTTTTTGAATTCTTGTATACTTGTATTTTAATTGGTCATTTCAGCTCATGTAACAGTGTTTCCCCTTATGAGGGGTGGTTAATTAATTTGAACCTTTTAAAGCCTTTATTCTACAATCTACATTCAACATCATCACTTGATAAGACACCAGAGGTGTTGAAACAAAATGGCTATTTTTGTAGTGATTTTATAACATATTTATGTTATAACTTTTAAATAAATATATATATATATATATATATATAGCCATGAGTCATAAAAGAGATAACCTTGAAAACAAAGGTATTGTAAAGTTATTGATTGATGGAATATTAAAAATTACAAAAAAAATTGAAGACTTTAGCAATTGACAAAAAAAAACGGCTTTAAGAATGTCAAAAAATTAATCTAAGAAAAAATAGCAAGAAAAGTAAATTGACCAATAAGAAAATATTTGAAGAATCTGTTATTGCCAATGTAAACAGAGGCTATTAAGAATATTGGTAAAAGACATGAATACAACCAAACATGAACCATTAAGTAAACATCCCAAAGAGAAATGCTTAAGTTGAGCAAAGAAGTTCATGAAAACTGTTTTTAGAGCTACATTGAATGGACCAGATGTCTAGTTAGAGGTTGAGTCTTTCATGGAAATAGTCAACAACATGATTTTGAAAACATTGAGAAGGAGGTATAACAAAGTAAAAAAAAAAAAATATACCATATTAAATTAAAAATTAACAAGTTTAATGGGAATGTTAACCCTTTCCTTATAAGGAAACATTCAGCATTCATTGACCAAGCAGTGTGCTACTGTAGGTTTAAATCTATAAAATCTTTCTATTGAAACCATTTTTCAGGAAAATGTTCCTCAAGTCCAGTAACTATTATTGTTCTTGTCTAAGGTCATAGAGTTGAAGGTAAGATTTGAATCACTTCTTAAAGTGAAATTTAAATGTATTTTTATCTAACATCTGATCATTATTATTTTACAATTGATATGCAAATGTACATGCAAAATTAAAAAAAAATTTAAATAAATGATAAATATGGTGACAAAGATGATGATAATAGTCCAAATAATGTAAATAAAAAAAAAATTTATTATTATTTTTATTATTTTTATTTTTTTTAATTTTCCAGGCTATCCAAGACTTAGTTGTGAGGGTGAAACGTGCCCAGCAAGCTGGTGCTATCATCTATTCTGGGATCACGTCAGAACAAGCTGCCAGAAATACCAGGTAGATACAAAATTCAACATGCATGAAAAGACTATGCTTATTTATTTTTCAATACTAAGATAGTTATAGATTTCTATTTTTTCACCAGTCAATGATTTTAATCCCATGTAAAAAGTTAAGTTTTTAAATGCTGACCCTAAATGCAGCCATTGAGTAGCACAGCACTAACTCACAAATCCCTTTCTTACATTTTGGTATTTGTACCATTCCAAGTTTACTAAACTCAAATAAATTTAAATTTCAACTCAAATAAATTTAATCGAAGGTTGTGGGGTGGGGTACTCTTTAAAAAACGAAATTTTTCTTATATATATATATATATATATATATATATATATATATATATATATAAATATATATCGTGTACCTATGTTTTAGTGTGTGACTAAAGTTTCGCTGGATTACTAGCTCGTCAGGCAGACGATCTATGTTGTTAAAAGTAGACAAATGGCTTATGGGAGTATCACTTCTATGTAGCACAAAAATAAAATTGCACAGAATTGTGTTAAATGCAATGCTGGTGGATTACATTTAATTTTTTTTTAATGTGAGTTTAACAACCAAGATGAGCATATTCAGCTGAATAGCAAAGCATATAATAATAATTTCCCATCTGAAAAATTTCCCCAAACAGATAAAAATTCAAAACATTTAAATCCTATATCAATTATTATTAATCTCCAAAATTTCTGCTTTTATGCATGTATAGTTATATGATTAGAAATTTTATATTCTTCAAGTAACATGCATTAGAATTGAGTCAATCATTTTTCTGTTAAATATTCTTGTGTATTCTGTGTCTATTACAATATCCATACATGAAGTTTAAATAAAGGGAAAATATATCAACTAGTCTAAGCAGTCTGTGTGATAATGAGTAGCAGCTGTATGTAACAGTCTGAGGTCATTAAAAATCTTCCTATGTTTAGTCTATTTATTGTTATATCTCCATAAGAAGAAAGTGAACTAAAAAAAAAAAAACGAATTTTGTACAATATCTCAGTAATTTCTGGAATATAAAAAATTTGGGTTTACAATTTATCTGCTTTCTTCTTTCCCTTTTCATTTTCTTTGTAGATGAGTTGAATCTTTTTACAAGGCCAAATTTTCACCTGATCAACTTTCTATATGTTAATTCAAGCATTTAACCTCTTTGATATGGATTAAATCACAAGTTCTTCCTGTGTTTCCTTCAAAATGTGCATCTTTGACTGACTCATTTCCAATTGAAAATCACATGAACACTTTTACAGATATACTTTTGTTAACTTTGACTTCCCAAAGTGAGATACAAATTCTACAGGGTGCTTCTACTACATTTATTGTCAAACTAAATTCATACAATAGAGAAGCTCTAACAATCAACTTGTATGTTGTTTTGTTGATTTAACTCATTACTGTTGTTGCTATACTCTTTTAAAATGGTCATAAATGGTGCATATAGACTTCATGCTGCTAAAAATGCTAATAGACTGTTGCCAAGCATTTGATAGTTGTTGACAGTCATGCAGATATTCTACAATGGTACCCTGCTTCATTGGTTAGGATACCCATGTAGTCAAGTAGAGGGCAATTGATTTTATTCGTGATTGGGGCATAGCTAGTAAAATCATGTTGTGAGTGTTTCAAATCAGTCATCAACTATGTTCTAAGTAAAGAAAAGGAAATAAAATGTATAAATAAATAAAAACTTTTTAGATCAAGTGACACTCAAATGGAAGGTAGGGGATTCCGGTCAGAGAATACATAAACATGTAGTCAGGATACATTATAGATGTGGAAATTCATAGTTAGAGTAAGGAGATTTAATTTAATTTGTTTTGATTTGATTGATTTACTTTCTAAGGTTTACCAACCCATTCAGGTTATTTAAAGCCAGAAAATAATTTTAGAGTGTAAGATTTTTTTTTGAGATAATAATGATTTAGTGATACAAGTCTTACTAATTAACCTATAGCTGGGTGAGAAGAAGTGGATTCATACTTTTTCCGAGGGTATTTGTGTGTAAGTGAATATAAAACCCAACTGGAATTCGGACTTGTCTCTCTGATTAACAATTCCAAGTTATTATCCATTACAGTCCATTATGTGTGATGCATGATACATGCTTTGGTGATCACATATCTTTTGATACATGACTGACAAGGCAGTTTTTTAACCTGCAGTATGTTGCCATCCAAGGCTATAAATCCCAGTCTTTCCTGCTATTTACCCATAGCTGGGGGGAGAATATGAGGATTCATACCTTTACCAAGGATATTAGTATGTAAGTGAATGTAACAGATTTGACTGGAATTCAAATACGGCTCTCCGATTCCTCAATCCAAGTCACTATCTATTAACTCCATCGTACACCACCCATATATCCAAGATTAAAGCACTTGGTATTCTCAAGTGGTCAGGATCAATGTTGCTTGGCTTTGGTGATCCTATGGGTATCAGTGCTTCAATATGATGTGGCCATAAGCTGAGTAAGGAGAGGTGTGACAGAGTTCTCGCTGAAGGGAAGATCTGGTCCATTATTCTATCATGAACGAAGACAGAAGTAGCTTTGGAGATGTCACTTCTCTACCTGCAGACAATTCCAGGTGAATCCACAAATAAAGAAGTCAGTACATTAAAAATGGAATTCATGTTTTCTTTGTGCAATATTTTACATTCTATTCCTTTGTTGAACATATACTAGACTTTTCCTTGATTTTGTTCAAACCATAGCATGGGACAAAAATTGACCAGTTAGGTAAAAACTGTCTGAGGGACTCAGTTACATGTTCATAAAGCAACATAAATGGCTATTTGAAAGACCTTAAAAGTTGAGTAATCCTGTGGTGCAGTTCCAAGTCATCTTTGGTCAAAATAGGATCTTTATTAATCTCACCCAAGTATATCAGAGGAGTAAAATGAAAATTTTCTTTAAGAAAGTATAACTTGTTTGGGGCTATATGACCACTGTATAGTAGTCAGTGTACCATAATACTGATCATATATTTTGTTTTATAGGATAAAGAAAATATCAATGCATAAAAAAAATTCTTAAGGGCCAAATATGTCATATTATTAACTATTTTAAATGAATAGATTATAATACTAACCCCTTCATCTCCTGGTAGTAGAAGTCCTGTTCCACTTATAAATCACATTGAGTCTGTTTTTCTGATCTGAGGATATCTTAAGAAAAGTTGGTTGAAACTTCCTCATGAACAAAGAGGGGATAAGTTACAGTAAATTTAAAGCTACTTTCAGGACAAACAACCAAATCTTGCAAAATAAGGACACACGGCACAGTGGATAAAGGCGTTAGTTAGATCCAGTGACAGGACCCAAAAGAGTGTGAGTTCAATACCTGGTTAAGGTGGTGGAGAACTTGGAGAGGGGAATTAACAGGAGATAACTGATAACTGACATCCATTAGACATGGCTCGTGTAACCAGAACAGTCTACACCAGTGAGTGAAATAAAGGGTTCAGTTCGACATTCCAACCACTTGAAGAAGGCCGGAGTGTACAATGGCCAAAACGTTGTAATAAATACGGTGACAAAGATGAGGACAATAGTTCAAATAATGTAAATAGTGTAAGTTAATAAGTGTCTGCATTATTCACAACATATTGTAAGAACTATTGCAATGCCCCCAGAGTGGTAACTGGTAGTCAGTTCATTAATTTATTCCTCTCTGGTAATATCTTGCAAGGGATGGTGATATCAACTTGCAGTATCTTGACAACTAGACTATGGTTGTCCAAGGGGCTAGAATTAGTTCTTTTATATTAAGATATCCTTGCAGGGCTGGGCTTGATTTTATTTATAAAAAATCCCTAATTTAATTTTCCAAACTTCTCTAAATTTGGCTTGTTGAAAACCTTTTTTCCAGCTTCTCATGTACCCATTAGTTAAAAAAAAAAAACTTACACCATTCTTAGAGTGGGATCATCCTGATTACATCACCAACTAGATTTCTTCAACCAATTACCATTATCTGGTCAAATGTTAATTTTTACAGAATCCTTAATCTATACATCAGTTATTTAAGACCTCACTATATTTCTATTCTCACATATATATTGGAAAAATAAGTTGGAAGTTGTCATCTGCAATCTCAAATGTTTATGGGACAATAATACTAGGAACAAAAAGGTGGGGGCAACTTGGTAGTGTATTATCGTAAAATTTCTCCCATTCAAGAACAAGTGACAACAAGTCCAACATGAAGGTTAACAATGTAAACAAGACAGTGACAAACAGCAAATACTCTGTTTATAGAAATAAGAGAAACTTTATTTACAATATAAATAACAGTTATATGTAGACAAAAAAGAATAATACATGAATTGAACTAATAATTAGTTGAAGTGCTTTGAGAATTTTCCCAGACATTTAACATCAATTAACATCATTTGTCCTTACAAAGATAACTCAGCTATTTTCATGTTACCTGTTGAATTTTTTATATAAAAAAAATTCAGATGACCACTAAGAGTCTTAATAATGGGTTTTCTTAACCTTTTAAAATTTTGACATATTCCGCTGGATATATAAAAATGTATGTTTTAAGCTTACAAAAAACAGCTTTCATCATGAAGAAATTTTTCTGTGGTAGTTGGTTGTCATGGCCACATCAACCTCTCCTGCTGCTTCGACATATTAATGGGTTGAAGGAGGAAGGGATGAGGTTACTCCCTCCTGACTGAAGGCACTGTTAAAGGCCTGTTGGCCACTGCCAAAAAAACTTGCTAAAAGGTGTGAACTCACTCTTTTATGAGCATCTCTAAGGTGTGGCTAAACTCAAACGAGTTAATTTGCATATGCACTAAGAACTTATATAGGCAAAATAAACTGATCAGTTACCTTTACTTTACTTTTCCTGCTAGTATACAAGATGACATTAAAGCAGATGATAATTAAAATGTCTGCAAAAAATCATTAAATTAGTAAACAACGCATCTAAAATTTTGACACTAGCATACATTATTTTTTAATTTTAAAATAAAATACAGCATATCTACATAATAATCTTTTTACTTGAATTTTTATTAGACAAAATACTGTCACCATTAATATTTTTATGCTTTTCACCTAAGATTTAGTTGCTTTTCATTATTGTCAGTCTAATAGGCATCCATTATTGTCAGTCTAATAGGCATCCATGGTCGAAATGCAGACTTTTGATAGTGAGACTATAGTGACCTCTCCAGAGCATAGGCCTAGGCAATGCTATATGAAGCCCATGTGCTGCTCAGATCACATGGTCCCTCTCTCGGTCATACAGACAAGATCCAAAGGAATACAGGGCATTTCATTTGGGGTCAGGTTGTCAGTGTTGACAGCCTACCACTTTTGGGGGCTCCACTCTGGTTTTTCTATCTAGATTTACTTCCATAGCCTCTTCTATATTTGGATATGATCACAAGGTAGCAAAGGTTTCAAATTAGGGTATTTTTCCCCCTAAATGGACTACCTTCCCAAGCTGATGTGTTCAATCTATCCAAAGCAGCTGGTTATGAGGCACTAATGGTTTGCTTTTGCCAGCTTGGAGCTGTAACTATTAGTAAACAGTGCAGATTGAAAATGAAAATAAAGAAGAGCCAGTTCCAATGGCTTGATGTGCTCCACTTCTTACCAGTTCCAATGGCCTGGGTCTGCTCCCCGTCCTCGCCAGTCCCAGTGGCCTGCGTCTGCTCCCCGTCCTCGCCAGTCCCAGTGGCCTGCGTCTGCTCCCCGTCCTCCGCCAGTCCCAGTGGCCTGCGTCTGCTCCCGTCCTCGCCAGTCCCAGTGGCCTCGTCTGCTCCCCGTCCTCGCCAGTCCCAGTGGCCTCCCCGTCCTCGCCAGTCCCTGGCCCGGCCTGCTCCTCGCCAGTCCCAGTGGCCTGCGTCTGCTCCCCGCCCCTCGCCAGTCCCAGTGGCCTGCGCCTGCTCCACGTTCCTGCCAGTCCCAGTGGCTCGCGTCTGCTCCCGTTCCCTCGCCAGTCCCAGTGGCCTCGTCTGCTCCCCCGTCCTCGCCAGTCCCAGTGGCCTGCGTCTGCTCCCCGTCTCGCCAGTCCCAGTGGCCTCGTCTGCTCCCGTCCCTCGCCAGTCCCAGTGGCCTGCGTCTGCTCCCCGTCCTCGCCAGTCCCAGTGGCCTGCGTCTGCTCCCGTCCCTGCCAGTCCCAGTGGCGCCAGTCCCCGTCCTCGCCAGTCCCAGTGGCCTGCGTCTGCTCCCGTCCCGCCAGTCCCAGTGGCCAGCGTCTGCTCCCGTCCTCGCCAGTCCCAGTGGCCTGCGTCCCCGTCCTCGCCAGTCCCAGTGGCCTGCGTCTGCTCCCCGTCCTCGCCAGTCCCAGTGGCCTGCGTCTGCTCCCCGTCCTCGCCAGTCCCAGTGGCCTGCGTCTGCTCCCCGTCCTCGCCAGTCCCAGTGGCCTGCGTCTGCTCCCCGTCCTCGCCAGTCCCAGTGGCCTCGTCTGCTCCCGTCCTCGCCAGTCCCAGTGGCCTGCGTCTGCTCCCGTCCTCAGTCCCAGTGGCCTGCGTCTGCTCCCCGTCTCGCCAGTCCCAGTGGCCCGTCTGCTCCCGTCGCCAGTCCCAGTGGCCTGCGTCTGCTCCCCGTCCTCGCAAGTCCCAGTGGCCTGCGTCTGCTCCCCGTCCTCGCCAGTCCCAGTGGCCTGGAAGTTAAATCTCACTGAAAAACCATTCATTAATGCTAGGCAAAAATTAATCCTGGAAGTCATAACTTTTGCTTTTGATTGTATAAACCTGAAGTCTTCTAACTGCAGAAAATAAATTTAAGTAGTGAAGAATTACTATCCACATGCTAATTATTTTAACTAATTTTTACTGATTGGTGAAGAACTGTTACCAATTAAATAACAGGGAAGGGGGCTGATCATCATTGTTTTGAGATAAGTTTTGATTGGTTGGCTCTGATTTCAGCAAAAATAAGTACAGTAAACTTACTCAGCCTCTATCTTGAGTGGCTTTTGGTCGTTGTAGTGATGAACAATAGTATCTAAAAATGAAAAAAATATGTGAGCTTGATGCTCATGAATGATAAAATTATCTGAGAATTGTACCATATTCATTATCATTTGCAGACAGGGTGAGCAATAACTGAGCAATGCTAAAATAAGAACTAGACAAGATATCCCTGGACAGTGGAACAAGAACAATCTACTACTGTAGATTAAATAAAGGGTTCAATTTGAAATTCCTTATAGTTTACCAGGATCTGATTAAGGCCACAGGGGACAACAATCAAAATGTTATAACAACAACAACTAAGATGAGGAGCCTGCATATTAATAATGTAAATAAAGCCACTGCCACATGGCATCATTAGTGCAAGGTAGATATCTCTAGTTATCTCCTTGCTTGGGTTAAAATGCTTTAAAAAATTCAGTGTTTTCAGTGAAGAATAATGACATGTCCTTTTAATCATACCTTATCTTATTTGTTATTTGTCTTCTTTCTGTTTTTCAGCATGTCCAATTTTGCTACAAGCAGCATAGAGGCTGAAGTTGGGACCGAAGGGCCAGATAGTAGAATGTCACCTGTACGACGTACTTTCTGCTTATTGGTGACCTTTGATATAATCTTCACCTTCATCCTCTGGGTGATATACACACAGGTAATTGTGCACAATTTTAATCAGCTCTGTTTGCAAATAAAGAATTTTTACATGTTGTGATATCAGTCTGACCTCTTAAGTAAACAGTCATAACAATCAGGACCAGGATTAATCTTGCACAAAGCAAGGTGGATCCCACCTGACAGAGGTTCTCAGTTTACCTTTTCACATACGTTTGTCACAAGTATTTGCTAGTTCTGGGCTCAATTTTTCTATGTCCTTCTGAGGAACATCATCCCAACTCATATTGGGCTGTCTCCTTCCTCTGCTATCCTCAAATGTCACTTCATAGACCTTTTTGATAAGCCCCTCACTGTGCTCAACATGGCCAGCCTATCATAGTCTATGGCTGCACAGCAGTAACTCAAAGTTGTCAAGACCTAGCATCTCAAGAAGCAAGTCTGACCTGACTTCATCCTTAGTGGACACAACACACATCAAGCGTATCATGGCCCCGTCATTCCATCACAGATGGTTGAAGTCCACCGTCAACAGGGCTCATGTCTCACTGGCATTCAGCATGGCACTGTGGATGCAGGTGCTTTATGCATGACCCCTGGTTTTATCCAGGATTTATAAATAAACAAAACATTGTTTCTGGCTCAAGGCTGTAGGGAGTGTCTAAAATTATAAAAATGTTTACAAAGTAGATAAAATGGAAAGGTTGTGATATCTAATTGCACCCTTCATTTTTGTCAAAATTGTATGAAGGTAAATATGTTTGTAATAGTCATGTGAAACTGACAGGTGTCATTTACAACAGAATTTAGTCTGGCACAAGGCTATAAATTGGAGAATGAAAAAATTCATGGTAGCCAATCACTATAGACTGGGACACTTACATGGAAAGGGAAGGTGTGATTTTTATCTCAAACTTAGGTTAGCATTTAGCATGGCACAACTCTAAATAGAAGTAAATAAAGATAGAAGGATTAGGTTGTACCAATGTCTCAAAATTAGGTTAACATAGTACAGGACCTAATAGTTGAAAGATCATGTTAGACTAATCTCCCAAATTTAGTTTGGCACAAGGACTAAGGCGGGACTGTAGCAAAGGATTGTTTTCATCAGTTTTCTTGCCTACTTTGAAAATCAGTGTTTGCAATAACTGCTTTTTTTTCTGGACTTGAACACTAACAACTGATGGCATTTATTTTTATTTTTTCAGCTGAAAGCTGACAACATAGCATGGGCACCTTATGTAGAAGAAGTCCTGCATTATTCAATAAAACATTCTATGTTTGATATTGTGGTTTGTATTTTTTCTATCCCTCATTTTCTTCTTTTTATTCTTGGATGGCAATATTAATACTAACTAGAAAAACCCATAAAAATTTTATGGTTTTGCTATTCGAATTTTCTGATTAATCATAATTTTTGAGTTAAAGATTGAATAAGCTCCTTGTGATTTCTATGACTATAAATCACCCATATAAATTCTCCTATCACATTGTTAAATATTTGAGCTTAACAACTTTAACCAAATATTGCTATGACAATCATAAATATGAATGCAGGTTCTTGTTTAAATAAGTAAGAGGGTATAAATGAAAAGATTTGAAATTAAACAAATTTTCCATTTCGCTGAAGTAAACAATAAACACATGAGCTGAGAGCATTATGGGCCTCATCTATCTTCTCTTTCTTTCACTAAAACCAAACATCATGATGTCTTTTCTGTTTTTTTCTTAGCAATCAAAGCAAAAAAACTGTAGTTCATTATTTATGAAGCATTGGTAGTGTGTAATATGTGTGTACTATCTAAGGAAGAAGCTAAATTATGATAATTGTAATTTTTCTCAGATTTAGAAAAATACACTTTTTTTTTTTTTTTTGCTTTTACAACAGTACACTAAAATTGACAATTATCATTTTTCTTTTGACACAGAAATTTTGTATTAGAAATTTGCAATATATTGACAATTATTATATATAAATTATCAATATATTGACAATTATCATTTTAACAGAATATATTTAAAATGTATATATTTTATCATTTTGACAATTATCATTTTCATATAATTTTGTCAATATATTGACAATTTTATATAATCAATATATTCTCATTTTTCTTTTGACAAAAGAAATCAAATTTATATCAAATTTGGTATTAGAAGTTTGGAAGAAATCCAAATTGGGATTTTTTTTTTTTTTCATTCAAATGCAGGGATTTTTTTTCTTAATTCACTGCCTTCATCATAATTTATGAATTGCTTTGCATCAGTATCTAATTTGTATCAGGATTTGAAAAAATTAACAAATTTCTTCAAATACTTTCATGACATTTCTTCATGAACACCACCATTTTTAAATATATAATATTGTTTACTCAGTGTTGTTTACTATTGATAAGCATAAATATTGCCACCTTGTGAAAATGTGTACAACTACAATTTGTTATCAAGGAAATTAAATGGTACTATTTTCAATACAGCCTAGTTCCATGACTTAACAATATGTGATATTGTATCACATATATGTATTGTATGAAAATATCAGCTGTTCCATAACAATTTCTCACAAAATATGTTCTCAACTGATTCCAAATAGTTAATGTCTGAAATGATTTGGCACAATATGGCTCATATAGTTATCAATGTGCCTAGAAATTATAGCAATACAGTGCTGAAGACAAAGGTGTTATGCCTTTGTTTCCAATCTAAGAGTTAGGATGGATTTTTAACCTTTTTAATTATTTCCCTCCAAACAAGTTAATAAAAGCCACTAGTATACAAAAAGTTACTAAGAGTGAGAGAAACATAGACAACAACAAAAAAAAACAAGATTCAAGGAAACAGAAGATGATTGCAATTAAATTCTTGAAGATCATAGTTGACAAGTAAGCTGGAAGAGAGTTCCACAAGTGAGGAGTGCGGAAGAAACTATTAGCATAGAACTTATGGTTACAGCGAGCAATTTCACCATGAAATTATGAGACCTAACTACCAATCTAGTACTACACTTAAATTTGTGAAGTTGATGTACTAAAGAAGAAAGCTTTAAAAACAATTACTGTTAAAATATTTCTAGAAATGGTACAGGGAAGCTACGTTACAATGGTGAGAAAATTCCCTTCATTGGACAGGTGTTACAGAATCACAAAGAACTTTACTAAATAACAAAAATCACATCACTTGAAAACTTCCACTTGCAGCAACAACTAAAATGGATGGCACTTGTAATTAAAAGGAAAATAATAATATAATCATGATAATTTTCTATAGTATCTTAGACAAAAAGTTAGAAAGGAAACTCCCATCAATATTAGAAAGAGTGATAACAATGGACTTGAGAAACCTATTTTCCTTTAAATCTCTTGTAAGGGAAAGATTTTATAAATTTCAACCAACAATAATGCTAACTATTCTTGTATTATTTCGAACTATTGTTCTCACCTTGCTTGATATAGATGTTATTATAGACTCAATGTTTCGACCAAGTACACTTTGGTCATCATCAGGTATCATTGATTGACTGATATGGGATATCTGTTGATTGTGATATTTTGTCCCCCTTGATATCAGTTGTTCGTTCCTACTGAATTGGTGCATCACTACCAGATTCAAGGATTAAACACATGGACACTAGATGACAGTAACACATATAACCAACAATCCCAAGGATTCAAAAACATACCATTAATGTCCTTCATGACAGTGGCATAGTGGATATAGGTGTTGCTTATACATGTGTTACTGTCATCTAGTAGCCATGAGTTCAATCAATTGAATGAACCAATACAGCAGGAATGAACAATAAATGAGATCAGGTATCAAAATAATCAACAGATATCCCATATCAGCCAATCAATGGACACCTGATGATGACCAAGAGGGTATCCGGTCAAAATGTTATCTATAATAACATCTATATCAATGAAGATGAGAACATTAGTTTGAATTAATACAAGAACATTGGCAATTGCTCTAATTACTTTAATTAAATCTGTTCAACACAAGATGTTTGCTTTTTTTATTGATGGAACTCAAAATATTCTTTTATGTGTGCTGTCCAGTCATGGCTCTTGACAGCATTTTATCCTTCTCAGCCCATTTTCTGCTATCCATTTGCATTGAATATTATTTTTTTTTAAAAATTGTCGAATCCCTTTGTAGCAACATAAAATCACTTTAAAAATAAAAATATTATACTTGTATTAATTTGAAATATTGTTTTCTTCTTGGTTGATGTAAATGTTATGTATGATGTTAGACAATGTACACCTGATGATCACCAATGTTCTTGGTTGAAATGTTGTGTCTATATTAACATCTATATCAACCAAGATGAGAACAATAGTTTGAAATAATACAGGAATATTGACAATTACCCATCTCGGAAATGAAATACTAAAGTAATTCTAACTATTTAGACAATGAATGCCGAATGTTTCCTGTATGGAAATGGTTAATCTCACCCTTACCATTCCTTACTTTAAATTTCTTTTTCTTCCAGATGGCTGCTGCTTCTCGATTTGTGCTACTGATCCTTGCTTATGCTCTTTTTAGAATACAACATTGGTGGATGGTTGCAGTAAGTTTATCCTTCCCCCTCTTGAATATATTATCCAATGCTTTCATGTTCTTCTAAATATCTGTGTTCCCTATTATTTTGTAAGCTTCCAGAGACTGCAAGAGTGATAACATTGAAGCAGAAATTCAAATTCAGGAGATGCGTTCAAGAAATCTTCTGAACAATATTCTACTGTTACTTTTTAAAATAGTTCTCTTGTGAGCTAGCACAAAATGTACTGCTCTCAAAGGATAGCAACAAAAGTACATGCTACATTAAGTGTATATACTCCTTTCAAATTTCTCAAACTTTTAGTTAGCACTTAGTCATGTAGTGAAATAGATTTGTCTACTGGTGGGTTAAGTTGTTCTATACAGTCTTTGTGAACATTGGTTTTCAGCCTTGGCACGGCTTCTAGGAGAAGTCTTTGTTGAATTTCTTCTCCTTCCAATGCATGTTGTTCATTCGATGTAGTTTGAGCAAAAGCTGTCAACAAAGCATTTCTCCTCAACAATTTTCGAAGATCGATTGCAATTAATGTACTCTTCATTTGCTGACAAATATTTTTTGTATCTTCTGTACTTCTGTAAAAAACAACTTTCTCCTGTTACGTTTTCACAAATTATTAGTTTTTAGAATGTAAATATGAAATTATTCTTGTAAATAAACAATCTAATAAATAGTGTTTAATATTACTTACATTATTTACATTATTTGGACTGTTATCCTCATCTTCATTGCCATATTCACAACATTTTGGTCGTCGTACACTCCAGCCTTCTTCAGGTGATTGGAATTTCAAACCGACACCTTTTATTTCGGCCACTGGGTAGATTGTTCTAGTTCTATGTGTCATGCCTCTTCCAGATGTCTCAGTTATTTCCCTTTAACTCAACTCTCCAAGTTTGGTTCACCACTGCTGTGGCCTGGTATTGAGCTCACAATTCTTTGGGTCTAGTCAATGGATCTAACCAACATCTTTATCTACTAGCATAGATATGAATACAATATGGAAACCAGTAATAAGGAGTGCTAGAGAAAAGCAATGAATAACAACAAAAATTGCAATATAATCTCTGGTAAAAAATGAATTAATAATAAAAGAAAAATTGCAATATGAGCACTGGTAAAAAATATGATGGCTGAGACATTAGGTTTATAAGTCCCAAGAATTCATACACATGGCCCAGTGGAGAAAGACATTGGCTAGATCCAGTCATCTGCAGTCGATCAGTTTGAAAATTTAGCTGATTGATTGCAGATGACTGAAATTTCCATCAATACAGTTCTGTAAATAATGAAAACTGCAATAGTTAATGGGTTAATTACTCTTCTCTAAATTAGTCTGTTGTTGTCTGATGTTTAATCTTACATGGAATCTTGAAAAATCTAAACTACACAAAATCTTTATAGGCACTATGTTGTGAGTAGCCATGGTCAATTGCAAAATAAATAACAGAAGTGTCCAACAAACAGAATTGACAGTGTTTACAATAAGCAAGAAAAAGAACAGGGCAAAAAATAATATAAAGCAAACAATATATACAAGGCAAATCAACAGTAATAAGGCAAAGCAACAATAATATGGCAAAAAGTTCACAAAAGAATTTGGTTTGACACACAAAAGCAAGTTTGGACACGCGAACATAGTGTTCTGATTTTATATCAAGACAGACTGGGACTGAGTATGATGAAGCCAAGAACTGGCCTATTTTATTGGCTAGGAAAAAATCCTAGAATGCATTTTTGTGCTTCTGCCTATAAATTAGGGTGGGACAAGTATTTTTCATTCCAGCATAGATTGGAATTGACAGATAAATTCTACAGCTTTTCTATCCTTTTTAAAAACAACCCTAACATTGAAAAGCTCATCAAAAGTTAATACTGACAAAACTTTATTCAGACAGCTTAAGGCTATTATATCCATTAATATATGTAATACAAGCAGCAATAAATAAGACAAAAAGAAAACTAGCCAAAAATTAATGACAATGTTTCATCTAAGAAATTTTGACAACTTCAGACTAAAAATTTATTTTGTTTCACAAAATGATTATCTCTCAAATATGAAAAACTACTTTAAAAATGCAAGTTGTGTGTGATATTGGTTGGGTGTATAGATTGCCTATATTAAAACATGAAAATATTTTATTGTTCTAAGTGGTTAATAAATACTGCTGTATACATGTTCAGAACCATTCAAAAAAACTCTTTTGAATGATAGTGGCTTAGAATGAGAGCCAAATTCCAGTCAGGTTTGTTACATTCACCTACACACAAATATCCTTTGAAAAAGTATAAATCTGTATCTTCTTCCACCAACTTTGGGCTAAATAGTGGGATTTTTATCTAGAAAAATCATTGTTATTCTAAAAAATAAATTAATGCAACATGCACTTATTAAAAAAAAAAAAAAAAAATCAAATATATTTTGGTCTTAAATAACTCACAAAGGGTAGATGAGCTGTAAAAAAAAAAAAAAAAAAATAAATAAATAAATAAAACAAATCAATCGATGAACAATCAAAAAAAAAACTCTTCTAGTGACTGAGGACCGATTACAAAACAGTATCTCTGTAGATCTTCAGAGAAATATGAGCAGTAAAGTTCAAAGGAATTGGCTAATTTCTACATTCAGTCAGTTAAGTGCCATATATGATACTGTACTGTACTGATGCAGCATTCACCCTGGGCGGATTGAGCGGCTTCTTCCTGTTATGAGAAGAAGATTCTTGGGATAAATTACAGAAGTAGGGTACCCAGGCCTACTCAGATAACGTTCTTGCTTGCGCGGGGTTCCCACAGACGCAGAGACAGGAAAGCGACCAGAAGCCACCAGTTACCGATGCAGACTCCTTGGATTTTCACCAGAGCCCTTGTTAGGCGGCGTGTGTGTCAGACCTGTCCGCCTTGGGTGGCCCTACCAGGAACGAAGTTCGGACGGCATAGCTCTGACACTACCGTTTACACCCTCCCTACCGACTGTGAGGTAAAGGGTTGGACTTTGGGGTTTTACAGTACCAGGTGTTCCCTAAGCGGTCCCCCATCTAAGTACTGACCTGGCTCTACGATGCTTAACTTCGGTGATCGAACGAGAACTGGTGTTTCAGCGTGATTTGACCGTAAGCATATATGATACATGCTTGGGCAATCATCTCTTTCAATCCATGATTGACTAGGCAAAAGATTTTCCCACAGCAGCTTGTCATTTCTTTCTGCAGTAGAGTGATTGCCAACCAAAGATATAGGACCCTGTCTTGCTATTAAACACATAACTGTTTATAGGAGAAATAGATTCTTACCTTTTCCAAGAGTATTTGTATGTACCTGCCTTAAAATGCAACTTATGGTGGGAATATGGATTCCTTACATTAAACATTTACTTGTGACACGTTTTGTTATTATGAGATGGGAAACAGATATTGGTTTCTTAAATTCTCTTAAATGTGATTTACCAATGTTTATATCACTAAAATCTTTCTCTTTCTTATTTCAGGTTACTACATTTTCAACGTGTGCATTTCTTCTTGCCAAATGTTTCATATTTAAAGTAAGTGCATTCTTTATTTGTTATTTTCTTTACTTTACTAATGTCCTTTGAGAATAACCCTTGTTTAACCTGTGAAATTGTCCAGCATAGATTCCAGAAGAAAATAAATCTTCATTGCAATTTCCTCTATAGGAGACATTGGCAATTTTTAGCCTGATACATGGTAGAGCCACATTTGAAGGGTTTATTAAGAGGATTTTGTTTCTTGATTTTATTCTTCTGATAGTACCACCTCTGCTTCCTCTATTTGATCTATTGCCTCTACAGGTGTTGTCTCTCCATTCTTTACCACAATAATACATCTGTTGATTTTTGTAGCCTGAGCTATACATTACATCTTCTGATTGCACATTACTATTCCTATCTGAAGATTGAGCTACATTCATCTCTGTAGTGGAATAAGCAATCAAAAAGTGAAGAAATAATCTTCAAACACAGCGCTACAAATTTAAAATAAATTTTATTATTGAGTATATGTTTTTCTTTTCAAGTTGATGCAAACAAGTTATAAAGAACCTCACAAAACAGTCTCACAAAAATATTTTGTTTTTGTTGTTTACAACATGACAATAAATTATGTTAGTATGATAGACAAAAACAAAAAGTGCATACTTAAGGAGAGTGTCATGTATTTACATTGTTTTATGAATGCATGTAATTTTCCAGCAGTCAGTAAATGCATACTGTGTTATCACTGCTACTAACATTTTTGTTTACCTAACTCTGTTCATATGTTTTTTTTGTGTTGCTTAAATTACTTTAAAATTACAAGGGTATTGCAGAAAGTTACTCGATAAAATATTTGAAAGGTTGAGTAATTAATTATATGAAATGTGTAAGAATTCAGTTTGTATACAACAACAAATAACCAACCCTGGTCAAAGACTTACAGAAAAACTGAAAACTAAACTTCATGAATTTACATGATCTTATTTATAATAGTGAATAGGCTCCAGAAAACTAAAAGTTATATTACTAAACTCAGAAGTTTATTGGTTAAATATTTCCCCGATTTTTAAATAACTACTTTTCAAAGAAAAATGTTGTTGATCATTTTCTAGAGTGAGATCTAAAATTTTATAACAGATAACACATGTGTGGTCATCTGAAATTTGGAGTGTTAGAAATAATGTAACTGATTGGTTAATAAAAGTGAATATGGAAATTCAAATTAGGGCCTACTTTTTGCACAAAAATGAATTGAGGTTTTTGGTGGTATTAAATCTATAACAAGGTTTCACACATCTACTGGTTTAGACTTTATTTGATTGCTGGAGATGAAGTACTCACTAAAGTCTTTGGTATAACAACCCTCAAATGTAATTACCCTCATCTTAGGCGCTTTGTATTTAGAAGTAAGATTTTTGTACTTTCTTCCACCTCCTTTTATTTTGTAATGTTTTCAGTATACAAAAGAAAAATCAGCTTGAAAATGAGTTGGAATATGAAAACTGAGTTGAAACAGCCTACTGTTAAGAAAACACCATTGACACATGATACTAACTCTTATTTTATAAATACTTCTCTAACGGAAAAACTGAAGATGTAATATTTCTCATATGGAGTCATCTTGATGGTTTCTCGGTGCTAAAAATATCATTGGATCATTTTGCCACCAAAACCAATAAAAGGAGTTAATCATACCAACCTGCAAATAGTCACGAGGTCAAAGAAATACAGAAGCCGAAACATGGCAGATTGAATAATGTTATGGAGGAAACTTGTGTACTCACCCAACAGGGAAAATGACTTCAGGGTGGCTGTGTGCTGATTTGTTTTTGTTTGAGTATGCACCTTTTTTTTTTCTTTTTTTTTTTTGGGAGAACTATCTTCACTGATATCACAATATATGCAAATTCATTTTTAACTGACCAATGGTTGATATCCCAAGGTAATAAAAGCCCGGTGTTGTTCCTTGGAGGGTGTGTCACTGTGTGATACATCTGGCAAATTGAGTAAGTTACAGCATTGGACATTGACTTCTGGTGAAAAACTTTATCACAGAGGACTTTAACTATCAATAACTTTGGTACTTGTGTCTGGTGTTTATTTTATTTTATTTTTTTTCATTTAAGTACAATGAGTCATGATAAGAAAGAGAGGTTGAATATGGTGTGCATTTCCTTAGTTTGCATATACAATATAAAGGTTTATAATATAAATATATAAGGATTCAGCTAGGAAATAGGGGATTACTTGATTTAACATTTATGCCAAAAATTGTGCAAGAGTAAGAGTTAAAGCATGGTGCTATATTGTCTTAGAAAACATACAAGAGAGTGAGATAATAAAATCTTGTTTTGATCAATGTATTTCAGCTGGTGCTTTCTCCCACCTTCCACAGGTGCAATCTATGTCATTTGCTGTTATATAGGAACAAAGTGTCACTGCTGACACTGGAGTCTGAACACAGATCACCAGAGAGCAAACACAGACGATCTTATTTTGAATAAGTAGATCATGTGATGGTAAAGGAAATGTATATATGGGAATTAGTGTGATATCTAAGTGATCACTATATGGATTACTATTCAGTGGCTACTTTTCGAGTGAGTATTATCGAGCAAGTACTATTAGTGCAAGGGTTATTCAAAGCATCTGACACCAGTATTGTTACTATAGTAGTATCTGCAATTACAAAATCTCTACTACAACGAGCATTACGAAAGTGACAACAAGTATTTGTTGACCTTACATAAGTGGCAATGAGTGTTCGTTTACATCACAAAACTTGCAATAATCTTTATAATCTTTGACTAAAATCTTTCCACCATTCCAACATTTTCTGGTTACCACTACTTAGTCCTATTGGTCTGTTGCTGGACAATTATGTTTATGTGTATCATAAAATAGGCT